CGAACGATGTTTGTACATACTTATCATAAATGACGTGTTTTTTATGGGGCAGAAGGATTAGAAAGCAGACTGAAAAACAGAGTTGCCCGCTGGGCAGCTGGCTACAATGTAGTCAGAGTTCGCCAATCTGATCGCCGTTTTAGGTTCTCTCAATATCCAGACAGTAAGATTCTAATGACAAGTCGCCACGAAATTATCCACCTCCTTTTTGAAATTACCCCGGGCACATGCTTGAAGAATGCATATCACACCACCAATGTTTGCTTTTACCAGCTGTATCCGTGTCTTTTCCTTTTCTCTTTCCTTTTTTTTTATTTTTTTTTTTTTTTTATTAGTTGTAGTTATAGTAAATACATCTGCAAAGCACGATGATTTCCTTGTGTGTAAAACACGTTGTTCCTTACGAAATATCATAGAGAGTACTCGACCTACTGAACGAATAATGTCATTACACAACACAATACAATAATAAGTTTAAGTTAATTGACAAATTATTTTTCCCTCTGTGAAAAATATCTTTCACATCACACTCGTTAGTTATTGAGTGTCAGTATCAGAGAATTTAGATAAATTATTGTTTAAACATTTGCACGTACGTTCGTCACAGTACATGAACAATATACATCGTGAATAGCACGATTAGGCAAAATGTGGCAAAAATTTTGTGAATTAGTTACTTTACTCTGTAGTTGCTATAGAATATAGAATATATGTGATTTGACTTTTAGTGAAAATAAAGTTAACAGAGCATTATTGTCAATTGAAGTCAGGTATTGGTAAATTCAGCGTTTTCCATAGGCACAAAATTAAATTCCATACAATGTTTCTAATTTATTCCTGACTGTTCGCAACGACACGAGTAGATGAAACAGATGCTACATATTGGAAAACACTGAAATGGGGGAAGTTTATTTTTTGTAACCGATTGTTCCCGCCTTCTCTTTTTTTTTGCGTGCATGTAATCGATTCTTACTGCTCGCAAGCGAGATGTTAGTCAACGTGAAACTATTGTTTCCAGCATCTGGACCAATAATGGAGAATGGTCCGCAAAATCAAACTATATTAGATGGAAAGGATGCAACTTTGACGTGTAATGCCGTAGCAGCACCGATACCAAACACTACGTGGATTTACAATGGTAAACGTCACGTTAGACACTAAGATCATGCAATTAATATAAGTGGAAATTCGATGGATGACTTTCATTCATTAATAGATACAACTCCTGTGGAAATCGCCGGCAGAGTACAGGTGTTAGATAACGGAGATCTTTTAATTGCCGCCGTGAAACCGAACGACGCTGGGAAATACACGTGTATTCGGGCGAACGAAGCTGGTTCTGTAAATGGTTCAGCCTATCTCACCGTTTTAGGCAAGATACTTCAAATGATTTAACAAATTCTAAGAAAATAATTCACACACGCGCTCTCTGTTATCAGAAATGTGATCCGTTTCAGTTCGAACGCAGATTGTCCAACCACCTGTTGATACCTCCGTCCTGCTCGGCTATACCGCGGAATTACAATGCAAAGTTTCCAATGATCCAAGCGTTTTGTATGATATAGCGTGGTTCCACAATTCACAGTACGTATATATTGTTGGAACTTTTATAAAATTTCAAGATCCAGGGTGATGGAACCAGGGTGCACTTTATTAATCGATTGAAACTACTTAATAATTAGAGAAAGCAGCGACGGTGGATTAATTTTCAATTTTTAACGTGCAATAATTGCAACGTACTTACGTTGCTTCTGCAGAGTAATAAATACACAAGCCAGCCAGAGGGTGAAGATGCGAAACGATGGCACGTTGGAAATAGCGGCGGTCCGTGCTTCTGACGTGGGTGAATACATGTGCTCCGTGGTCTCTCCCGGTGGCAACGAGACTAGATCCGCTCGTCTCAGTGTGATCGAATTGCCGTTTGCACCTATAAATGTAATGGCCAGCCGAGTCGAACGGATTTCACCTCGCACCATAAACGTCAGTTGGGTGCCAGGCTTTGACGGGAACAGTCCAACAAAGAAATTTATTGTCCAAAGGCGAGAGGTTTCTGATCTTGGTAATTGAAATTAAATTTTAATTTAATAAAACGCACGCTGCCTCTCGGTGAATGTCCATTCAATCATCTTTATAATATATTCTTATAATCTATATTTAATTCACAATCTGTTTCGCATAGGGCCGATACCTGATTCCGCGCTGAACTGGATCACCGAGTGTAACAACGTCTCGGCGGAAAATCGTTGGGTGGTATTGAACAATCTAAAAGCCGCTGCCGCGTACCAATTTCGAGTAACTGCGGAAAATAGCGTTGGCGAGGGACCTCCGTCGGATCCTAGCAACGTGGTAGCCCTCCCTCAAGAACGTGAGTAGTAATTACAAGCGTACGAATTTTAATACTCTTCGATTGATCGACATTCTTGGTGAATTATTGCTACAGCTCCGAGTGGACCACCAGTAGGATTCGTTGGCTCTGCTCGGTCATCCTCGGAAATAATCACGCAATGGCAGCTTCCGTTGGAAGAATATCGAAACGGTCATATTTTAGGATACGTGTTGAGATACAGATTGTATGGTTACAACGACAATCCGTGGACAATACAGAACATCACGAACGAAGCGCAAAAGAACTACCTTATTACCGATCTAATCACTTGGAAGGATTACATCGTGCAGATAGCGGCGTACAACGACAAAGGGGTCGGAGTGTTTACCGAAGGTTTGAAGATTAAAACCAAGGAAGGAGTGCCCGAAGCTCCGCCCACGAATGTAAGGGCGAAGGCCGTTAATTCAACGGCGATAAAAGTGTGGTGGAAACCCCCGAATCCGCAGAAGATCAACGGGATAAATCAAGGTTATAAATTACAAGCCTGGATCGGGCGTAATTTTACCGAAGCGAACGAGTACAAGTCGATGACCGTGCCACCTAGTTTGTTCGATCCCCTCGCAGAGCAAAGTGCCAT